ACAGATTCGCATGAAAGTAAGAAAAACTTCTCAGCTCAGATTTAAGCACGCGATAGAGAAAGTAAGTAAATTGTTCTTGTTTCTCGAAACTAAGATAAATCAGAAACTTTTACCTAACAAAAGATACAAATTCTCAGCCTTGAAGGATGAATGCTATTCGAATCCAATGTTTCGTGCACAGCCAATAGGTGTGCACGCAATAAATTCTTTTCCAATAAATTTTTCCACTCTCAAGAAACAAATGTTTTATTGGCGAAGTTTAATACAAAAAAAATGTAATTTGCTTTGTAATTTTGTATTGAAATTTTCACAATTAGTTTTTACTTATTTTTTACAGCAGATAATCCGTCTCTGGTAGTCATATTATATCGTAATGTTTCCAAGTGAAAAATGAATGTAATTGAGCATATCACACACCTGTAAATCCATAATGCCAGCGAGACATTGTGCAAACAGTGTCCATTTGATACTTATTTTTAAATTTGTTAAATAAACTTTAACAAGAAATTTGAAGAAAAAACTAGAGTGCAATCCATGATATCATTATGCATGATATCCCTTATGAACAGTAGCGAGGCGTCAGCTTTTTGGCAAGGTATTCACAATTTGATCAAAATAACATAGTATTCCAACTATAACGTATTTCCCCTACTCCTGAGTTTTGTCCTTTCCACAAGCAAATAGCGTACAAGACCAACAAAACAATTTATGACTACACTGGAAGTAAGCGGGATCAATTAGATGAAATTCATCGATTCATCAGAAGACGGCTCTTACTGACCAGTGACAAAATGAAAGCCAGGTATGATTTGAGAATGAACTCTGAAGGTTTCCAGGAAGGAGACCTAGTGTGGTTCCATAATCCACAACGGAAGAAAGATTTGTCTCCAAAACTACAGACTCATTGGAAAGGACCATATAGGGTAATAACGAAGATCAATGATGTTGTTTATCGAATTCAAGAGTCGGGGCATCATAGAGCTCGAATGAAAGCGGTACATCGGGAACGGCTGGCACCTTATTGCAACGATTTGGTAATACCTGTTCGGGATGAACAGATTTAAGAGGAGGGCAATGTTACGAATTTGATCAGGTTAACAATGGAATGTTTTTAATATTATTTAATCATTATGTCAATTGATATTTTATAATAAGTTAGTTGGAATTTGTTTTGAAGTGAAGCTGTGTTTTCCTAAATTTGCTTCTAGTAATTACTAGTTCTTTGTAATACTACAATACTACAATACTATAATAAAGTATAGTTTCGCTAATTAAGAAGTTTGTTTCATTTTTACAAAATCCTGTGATTCGAATATACACGCATACAGGCGATTACGTAACAATATGTTAGTTACACCCAACATTACTTATAATTAATAAAAGAGAAAACACATTCCTCTTAAAATATACTAAGGCTCAGAATAAAAAGTGCACCGCGTTGCTTACAAAGGATGCAAATGAAATAACATTCACATTGGGACTATGTTCAATATTGAATAAACACAAAACATACAAACAAATATAAAAATCAAAGAGAAAACAAGCCCCTCATAATGTGTAGATAAAATAATCATAACTCTTAAATTAACGCGTGCAAGCGGTTCAATAAAAAAAGTGAAACTCCAATGTTATGCAAAGTAAATACAAAAGAAAAAAGAAATGAATGAGCGAAAATCGCTTTACATTTGACTAGAGGTTCAGTCGACTAAACTGAACCGCAAGTTCATACAAAGCGTGCAAATACAATCAAACGGCAACCGCGTTTTATATGGGCAAATGGTTCAGTAAAAAAACTAAACCGCGTATAGTAAATGTTAGAGCTTGTCTAGCTAAGAAACAAGTAATTAATCTGCATCTAACATTTTTGCTTTAAATCAGAAAAATGTGTTTGTGTGGTCTTAGAACTTTAATATTGCCGTTTGAGTTGTCAAACAGTTCATGATTTATACTCGCATATACTGATGTCAAACTGTACTCAAATGCTGGCGTACTTTGGCAGTACAGTATTCTAAATATGTACAATTTCATACCTTCTATATTCCAAATTATTCAGAATGCCACTTTTTAATATATCCGGTTTAAGAATATTGAACTTTAGTTAGGTATATTTAACTTAACGTAAAGATAAAGCTACTTTGCTACAATCAACTACTTGTTCCCATTTTGGTCCATCGTAAGTTCGGTTTAACTGGATTGCCTACGCAATCCTGTTCTTCTTGGTGCACAAATCTCTAACACGTCATCATAATCTTTCGCTTGATATTCTGCGAACTAAAGAGTTTCTTGCTGAACTCCTTCAAGCTCTTTCTTCTAAGCTTCTCCAATCTCTTGCTCTTCCTCTTGTAGAAAGCAATCCCTCTTGTAGAGTATAAATGCGGTTCAAGTCTCAAGTCTCAAGTACATGGAGCAGAGTGTCCTGAATAAGGGCTTGGTATTTCCAGTCGTGTGGAGAAAGTTTCCAGTCGCGACAACTTGTTTTGCAAGATTATTCACCATTTCGTAGAATTTCTCGTGGATTTTGTTGAGTTAATTGCTCAACTATAAAGGACGGAAATGAAATCTTTAAATTTTAATTAATAAATAATTCACGAATTCGATAAATCATGAGATGGTTTCGGATATTTTTTAGCAGGACTGTTGTCATTGATGAATAAAATCCTTGTAACTAAAAAATTAATTCATTTCGTTTTAAGTAAAGAAATAAGATATATAAACTTGTATTGATTTTAAATAACCGTTGGAAATAAATTCTTATGCAAGAATTAAATTTTCTTAAGTACTTTTACTGAATATTTGATCAATTCTTATGGTAAAACACATACCAGCAAATGCTGAAGGACTTCGCAAATGTGTTATGTATAGAAAAATATTTGAAATTCCTGCTGGCTCCATTTGAACATTGAGTGTATACACACAATCCCCTCACTGTTCTATTACCCGCATATGTGTAGGAAATGGATAAAAAGTTTATTGCCCAAACGCAATTGATCGAACTTCGGAACTTAATTAGAAAATGAAGTTCACATTGGCTTTCATTTACTGCTTTAATGCCAAACAACATGAGTTCGCATTCCATGGTATATGAAATACCAAAGCACACAAACACACAAACGAGAAACATTGGCGCGCAGTCCAGCAGAGAAGCTCAAAATATGAGTGGTTTCTAAGTTTATTTATTGTGTGAATATTTGTAAATATTGCATGAGTGTGTGGCTGTGCGTGGTTGTGTGTACAGCACGTTAGAATTTTTTTTTTATGAGCACAACACAAAATTGCACTTGTAATTGAACCATGGCTGAAGGGTGAGTAGTGCGGCGGCTTTGTTCATTGATTTGGGAAAGCAGCATAAAATGCCGCCTACTTAATAAGTTAGTGTGTGCGTGTGTCCGTGTGTGCTCGCATGGAAAGTCATTACAAGCAACAAATGAAATAAAATATCATGATTTCGCAATAAACCGAAATGACAGCGGCAGGAGGTTGCTCACAGTTCGCAGAAAAAATCCACAACCAATGACCGAAAATAGCAATTAAACGCTGACATTTAAATTTGGCACACAAACGAGCAGGTGGCGTGTTCAGCGCTATTCATTATGCACGCTTTTGATAATTTGCCGCCAGCTTGCCACGTTTTGTTAACTTTAAAATTAGATAATCTGATTCCTTAATTATCTGACCTAAAAAATATATAAAACACAAAAAAAATGCGTTATTTATATACTTACTAACCTAAACGACCTTTATAACAACTATACTACTGGGTTTCGACCCGACGCAGCTTGTCTTTTCAAGAGCATCTGCTTTGTATGCACCTCATTCAATCTAGTCAATCAAGTGCAGTTAGTGCTTCCTCAACTTGATCATCACACCGGAGACACAGTCTATCTCTGCGCCTTCTTCCTTCCCCTGTAGCTTCAAATACTTTTTTCGCTGCAGCATCGTTTTTCCATTTTCAAGACATGACTAAGCCAGCGAAGCAAAGGATGATATATTATAGTCGTGATGAAGCTCATACAGCTCGTGGTTCAATCGGATGTGGTAGTTGTCGCCAACTTGTAGTAGTCCAAAGATCTTACGAACAAGTTTTCTTCTGAATGACTGTTTCATCGTTCTGTGATAACGTCCATGCTTCTGCACCATACAAAAGCACAAGTAGAGAGATCGACCTGTGTATACCGGAAGTTTTGTTGGTTGAGAGACAACTCTATATCCCAATTGCCCACTAAGTCCATAGCAGCGCCTATTGCCAATGGTGTTACTTCGTCTGAAATCCAGACTGACATGGTTGTTGTAGATGAAATTCTTGACAGGTTTAAAAGTATGATTGCCAACAAGCCGTTCAGCAGCTCGTTGTACATTATTTAAATAATTAAATATAAATAAGGCAATATTAAACCAATTAAGTGAACTATATAACTTATTTTTAAGACTTAAACCATCAAATAATAATATCATAAATAGTAGCTTAAAAATGTTAAAACAAGGTCGACCTTAAAGTCATCCTGTACTCTTCTTGTGGAGTACCGTGTTTCTTTTAATCACGCCTCCCATCAGCTATTCTACGACGAAATAACAGTGTCAAACTTCTTTCTGAAGTAGGAAATGGTTTCCTTTAAGCTTACATATGTGGCATGTTTGGATACCAATATACAAACATGATATATAAGGCAGCGACCTCTCTATCTTTCTTGGAATACTGGTGCAGTAACTTTAACCTATCGATAGAAATACATATTTAATTGTTATATTAAATACAACATTGAAAGATACTGCCCATATAATTATAATTACCATTTATATTCATTATCATCATTAGTGGCGTAACGATCCTAGTTGAATCTTGGCCTCTCTACAATTTATATTAATATATATTAAACTAATTTCCGTCGAAACTGTACTCAAACAAGAGAATTTGAAGACTCCAAAAGTTTTATTTTTTTAGCACACTTTTTTCAAAAAATAATTAAAAATAAATTAAAATAAACAGCAAGTCAAAAATAATTTCAGATTTCCGTCATCAGCATGGAGACAAATTCCGCATAGTCAATCAAGCCATCTCCATTAATGTCAGCCTCCAAAATGAGCTCCTTAGCTTCGTCTTCCGTCATTTTTTCGCCCAAAGTTAACATGTCATGGTGAAATTCTGGAGCTGAAATGAATCCATTTTTATCGATATCGAATACCTTGAAAGCATTAAGCAAGACATCTTCTTCAACAGGGGGACTCATCTCGCGTTTTAACATTGAACGCAGCTCACCACAGGTAATGCATCCCCTCTTGCGCGGATCATATTCCTCAATCAGTTGATGAAGTTCAAGTTCAGTTGGATGTTTATCCAATATACGCAGCACAAGACCTAGCTCTCTAGTAAGAATCCTACCACCTTTGCCTCTATCGAACAAGGAGAAGACCTCAGCAACTCTGTCGTCTTGCTTGCGGCAAAAGCCAACCAGCTTTGTGTGCTTCTTATTCTTATTCTTCTTCTTCATTTTAGCTATTAACTTCTTACGTAATAGTCCAAGAAGATTTTAAAAATTTTGTTTTAAATTATTTTTATATTTTTAATGTCAAATTCATTTTCTAATTTCATTCAATTATTAACATTAACTTATTTTCCACAGATAACTTGATAAAAACTTAAATTCAACATATTTACTTGGATGATTTATGGTTTTTTAGTTAAGATATCACCATTTCCTCTGCTTTCTAATGGAGACAGCTTCTTCTTGCTTACGCTTATTATCGTGGGGGCAACTTATTTTCATAGTAGAAAATAAAAAAAAAAGTGAAACGATATTTTGTATCCATAAATTTCATTTTTATTACAATTTTGACAATTCACTGAGCTAACGCACGAACGCAAAAATATTTACTTTAAACTAAAACTGCGAAGAAAAAAGTGGACGGACCCTTCGATTTCACATTTTGTAACATTTTTAAATTTTGCAAATTCAACTGTGAAATTGATTCCGTAATTTATTGACTAAAGAATATTTTCAACAGAATGACTTCAGCACCCGCTAAAAATGTATCTATTCCTCTCACATTTAGCATCTACGTAGTCATATTTAATATATATAATTGTACTTAACATACACTACTTTCAGTTCTTATTAAATACTGAATATTGTACTGAATACTCCAACTGACTTTGAAAATACTCTAGTATATGTACAGATACTATTTTTCCTTTATTTATAACATAAATAAATACATTTTAAATTATATTGTTTGAATCTTTCAAAAAATTTCCATTAAATTATCCTTTAAAAGAAGCTCCATAAAATAAATAATGTCGTCCTAAGAAAGGAGTTAATGTGTATGGATTATGCTTTGGAGCGTGTGTTGCACCAATACTGATATTAGGCGATATGAGTAAGCGTATGTGTGAGGCATAAAACCTCATGTGCATAAATTAGCACATCCAACCACGCATTTCGGAAGGAGCAAAGCAAGCACCTAATAAAAATCCGCACATAACTCACTTACGATGCAACGTAATATTTCGTCCAACAACCACGACGTGTAACACCTCCTACCGTCTCCCTTTAAGGCGGCTATAGCGAATTGCCGGCTGCTATACACACTCCCTCGGCGGATTGTTATTGTTCGGATTTACAATGTTATTCTAATGGAACATAAATTTGACTGTGAAAGAACTCAACGCCTCCATTGTTGCATATTCGTACGGGTCTATTCTTTAAAGCAAATAAGTATGTGTGCAATGTTAGTACGTCATTCGAGAATAGCATTCTACGCTACCACTACTGCAGATCCTTGCAGTTCGTACTTCATCTTGTTGAATTATGTGCTTTCTTCATTGCGTACAGTGCCCATAGAAGTCATCTTAAGATGTAATATATAGAAGTACAGGATATGAATAAAATATCAATAAGAATTAAATAATAGAGTGAATTTCTATTGTCAAATTCTAAATTTATAAAACGTTTTTCTTAATATTAATTATTTATTTTTGAGTTAAGATTCTTCTCGTTTTATGCATTCCACCACTCTATTACGCCCAGAAGAGCACTAGAAATTCCAACCGTTATCGCATTACCATCGGTCAATAGGTCACGTTAGGTTAAGAGAACGTTTGTAAGCACAAGCATTAACATTTCTACTTGGAGACATCTATTATCCATTGTAATGTTTTTAAGTTGACAAGAGTAGGCATGATACTACCGTGTGATCTTCAAGATAAAGTTAGGGAAAACTGATACATCCACCTTCACTATTTCTGTGAAGCCGGTAAGTAAACAATTTCCCATATTATAGAGTAGTTCCATATTCTGCAATGTAATAAAAAGTGACTGACTGTTATTTCATCCTTTACCTCATCCTTATTTCAAAAACTACAGCAAATTACTAAACCGTTAAAACATCAGTACTTCATTAGGACTCCAGCAATCGTACAAACTCCATATTTACTGAAACCCAAATGATCTCAACTTCTTGTCCTAGCTAATGTAAACCATTCAATTTAAATGACCTCATAGCCATCATGATTGATTCCCAAGTCATTCTGCATTGCTTTAAGTCGGTAAGATTTTCTAGTTTATGCTCTTCTTGTAGTATACGGAGATTGTACAACATTAAAGGAGATTATGACACGTAGCTGTCAGAAAGCGTCGATATACATATTTTTTATTTTATTGTGTTGTATTGTACCATTAAGAGATATAGAAATAAAGTAAATATCACTTTACCTGTATGTTATATGTTAAAAGAGAAGTTACTAAACTACTATTGACTGACATGATTATTATTATTATTATTATTATTTAAATTGGTTTTTGTCTATTTTATTTTTATTTAAATTTTGTGATATGTAAAGTTTACCAAAATATGTAGAGTTTTATAAAATATATCATAGACCAAGGTATACTTTTCATATTTAATTGATATTGACAGATATCAATAATCATAGATGTCAGCGTAGTATCTTGGGTTTGAGAGTTGTATGTAACAGTGCCCAGTTAGGAGTCCTGTGATGATTCTAAATTTTTCTTTTGATAGGTTAATACAATCTTGGTATCTCTCATTATTATAGCTAGCAATAAGTGATTTGGATTGTGTTAATCTTAGTATATTATCTCAGTAATCTTTTGTATTCTGGTTCTCCTTTATTTGTATGAAAGAAAGGATCATACTATGTACTAGGTATTATATATATTATGGCTAATTACATATTATTATTTAGCTGGATAGTGCGACAGTTTCACATCAAGACTGTTTGCCACAGTTTATGTATTCTAGTCAGTTTTAATTTAGTAGATAGTATAGCTAAATCACATGCATTAATAATTTGATTTGTTTGGTTCTGGTTTGGTTTGTAAGTCAGATTACATTCAAACTGAAAATAAATTCAAGCCTAATAGAATAAAAGGTAATACATTTTTTTCCAAAGTTTTTGTTAAAACAAAATATTAGGATACAAACGGGGAGCGGTGGCCCCTACCTAAGTACGCCCATGAATATGGGCAACATATATTGTAGAAACGAATGTAACCCAACTTTAGAAGAACATTTATGAACATTGTTTATAGCACAGCTGACCAAATTCTCTTCACTTTAATTGTATCGATAAAATTATGAGAATTTTGACCACAAAAAACTAGAAAACCTACCTTCGCCAGAGATAAAAGATAAGGATTATGAAGGAAACGAAAAGCTATCCAGTGTTTTGGTGCCAAGTAATAATGATAATATGTTTTAAATAATGTATCATATCAATCTTATGTGATAAAGTCATAATATATCAGAAATTCTGATACTAATACAATCAAAACTTTTTAATTTTTTATATCCAAATCAAATAAACAACAAATTATTCCAAATTATAAATCAATATTATTAAGAATCTATTTAGAATAAATAAATTTGTATAGATTTAAAAATTGTTCAATTATTGCGTAGCAAAATTATTTGTGAATGTTCTTAGAGTAAATAGGTGATGTAAATTGCTGGTAACATTAAAAATTAAGGGTGAATTTGCAAAGGCCAAAATTATTTAAAGTTAATTTAGAAAATAACAAAATAATATAATATATACACTTATATGTATATATATCTGTACTTAAATATATATATATATCAGTGACGATTGCTCTAAGGTGCGGAGGTGTGCGGTGAACACCCTAACATAATTTGCAAAATGTCAAATAACATAGGTATATAAATTTATTAGGTATCTTCACATCAAGAATTATTATTAATTATTACTTTTCCATATATATATTTTTAAAGTTTTAGCAAAAACAATTAAATATAATTGTCTATGAAAACTCAATCAATTTGCTTCTGTTAGCTGCTATACTTGTTAGGTGTGCTCATATATTTGCAGCTCAAATCGCAGAACATTTCTATGTTATTTCGTCTCTCCCCTTTGTGTGCAAAAAAGTTGGCCGCACATTCATACGTTGCATATGAACAAAATAATGTGCGTGTGCTCCCGTTCGTAATATCAGAAATAGAGATTTATATAGTGGGAATTGTATGAGAGTAATTTTCTGTTCTACTCGAATATCAACTGCACACATACGAATCCAACATGATGATTTGCCAAAGTGGTTGCATGAGCGGCTGAAGTTTGCAGCTCATCTCAGCATACATTTCTATCACATTTCGTCTCTCCCCTTTTAACAGTAGCACCCACGAATTTCTGTTCTTACTGTGCGGAGTACTTGTCCGCACATTTATACGTTGCAAGTGGGTTTGATTTTGTTTGATCACTGGATAAACATGTATGGTTCTGAGTTAAAACTCTTTTGTTTGAAAAAAGTTGGTTTGATGTTACGAGAAGAATTATGTGAAAAGTTTTGTTTCTTCCATATTGATATAATATTAAACTTATATGTAAATTATTAATTTAATTTGCTTAATATGTTATTTTGTTAATGAATAGTTAATATAATATTGCGAATATATTGTTGCCTAATATAATATAGTTATTATTAATAAAACATCTCATATATTTTAATTTAAGTGGTACATGTAAAAACAACATTAAAGAAGGGCCGCACACCCTTCCAGATAGAGCACGCGTCGTCACTGATCAGAATATTATTACAAACTTTATGTTGTCTCTATAATGCGTTTAACATTTATTAACTTCACCTTTACCGACAGTAGAGTAGTACTGGACCTTCAATTATTTTATATTGTACATAGTAACAAGACTCGAAATTTAATTTTACTTTGTCTCTACACACTTTTTACTACTTTTTCAGTTCGCCGTCGTACGTTTTAATGGCATTGTTTTTGCTGCAGTTAAAGGAACCTCAAAATAGTTTTGCCTGCTAAAACAAAAGCTTTTCAATTTTCCTGCTTCCTTGCACTACAATTATCGTTTCATCTTATGGCTTGCGGATTGTTGTTTGCTGCGAATATTTTTTTAAAATTTCTCCCTTTTTCCTTTCTACGTCCGTTGTTACTTTTTGATTAAGTTCGGTTACTCTTACATTTTTGGAATAGCTTTAAGTGCACA